TTTTAGAGCCTTTTCCATCTTTCGTTGTGGAATACCCTCCACAAAAATAATAAGAGGCAACGCCTCCCTTAATTAATAAATACATAATAAACCAAATGATCAAACAAACACAAAAGCTAGGACAAATTTGTGTCTTCTGCTTCTACTTTTTGTGATCGAATACCGATTTCTAGCTACCACTGATTGTTTGTGGATGTCGCAATGTGATTATGTTGGGTAAAGTAAACGAATTGTTAATCATAAAAGCAGACGGGCCTCAAACATTTCAAAACACCTCAAGCATCTGATCTAATCTAAACTGCAGCTAGCAAACATTTCAACCACTCAACCATACGAGAAGGTTATGTGTTGAGGGAGAGGTGCAAAATCATGCCAAGCTGCCCCTTGTGCATAGCTTTATATGATCATGATCAGAGACTAGACTTGTTCAGACAAACCATTGTCTAATTAGTTCAAGTATCTTATCATTACAACTAAGGGTAAGTGAGACAGAAAACTATACGTAGTTGGTATGTTTCTGTGGTTGTCATTCGCTCATTCCTCTCCTCACCCCCCAACTTCCACCACCACAATTTATTTATTTTTCTTTCTATTTTTAATCTGGTTTTCAACAAGATTGATTGCTTTTATGGTTCATGATCGTCATTTTAGAATTTAGATTTTAGGTTTTGAATCTTGGATTTTGAACGGCCCAAAATTTAAGACTAAAAACTTAAAATCAAAACGATTAATTATGTCGTTAATTTTCTCATCTTACCAATTATCCATTGATTTCCAAAAGTATTACATGAGAACTCCAATCATAAGACTCTGTTTGGTTCATGGGAAATGAGACTTGGGAATGGGAAATCAATTGTTTTTTTGTCCCGTTTGGTTAACGGAAATCATTTCCCATGTTAGTTCCCAATAGATGGGAAATAGAATATTCTTTTCCCATGTTTGGTAATACTGGAAAAGTAATCGGGAGATATTACTTTATTTCCTTTCCCATGTTTGTTTTGAGTAGAAATAGAAAACAAAGTTTGTATAAATTTTTCATTATACCCATATTAAATCAAATTAAAAAAATGCATTTAATGATATATTATAATTCTAAATTGTTAATGATGACAAAATAGTCATGAAAAATATTTATTTAATATTGGCTCATTTTCCCAAACTTTCCTATGATGGGGAAAAACAAAACCCAATTTGGGAGGATTACTTTACTTTCTCCCCTACTTTCCCATGAGCCAGGCGACGATTTTCTATGTCTGGATTTACCAAACATGGAAAAGCAATTGATTTCCCATTTCCGAGTCTCCTTTCTCATGAATCAAATGCGGTTTTCCATATTTGGTAAGTTCAGGTATGGAAAATGGTTGCCTTGTACATGGGAAATTAGGGATAAAGTGAAGCTCTCCTTCATCCTTACGTTTTGTTTTTCTCCTCATGGGAAAGTTTAGGAAAATAAGTCAACATAAAATGCACATTTTTCATAATAATTTTGTCCCCATTAACAATTTAAAATTACAATATAACATTAACCGCAAACCAAACGGGGCTAAGAATAATCTTGCCAATTGTTTTTAGCAAAAGAGCAATGTTTACAAGATAGTCAGTTCGTTATCTTGATAACAATGAACACAAGTTTGATCAAAGCGATCAATATCAATCGATTAAGTGGATATAAATTTTTCTTCTGACTTGATTGAAAATCAACTTCGATAATTTTTTGGCAAAAGATCAGTTTCTTTAGCTAGGATCCACGTGTCCAAAATCTCAGATTTTTTAAAATAATGCTTATTGTATTTTGATAGAAATGCTTACAATATTTTTATAACGTGGAAAAACTTTCAGTACGAAGGAGAAGGACCACGCAAATTAGTACAATAAAGTTCATGTGACTTGTCTCTCTGGATCCATGTGAAAAACCTTTAATGCCCAGCTATAGAAGACAAATAATTATAGATGTGACTGCATTTCACTTTTCTCAACTCCGATCGATTATATATGGCTAATTTCCATCCATCTTATGTGACGCAATGTGTTGGTCTAGAAGGTTTGAGGGCCACTCTTGCACTATCATGGAATGTTACGTACCTACACCCAGGGACGGATTTAAGATTTAAAAATAGAGTAGGTTAAATTTATCTTATGTACACACTAGAAAGTGGAACATAAAAAGTGCAACTACTGCAGTGTACCAAATCATTCTTTTATTTATTTATTTATTTATTTCACTTAAAGGAATTATGTGTGAAGAGGGATATCAGTGAAAGGGAAATTACCAGTAAACTGTTCATAAAAAAATAAAATAAATATAAATAAGTCAGCAGAGATATTTTACACAAGAATGTTTTAGAATAGTCAAAGAGAATTCAATTCATTAATTTGTTTTATCTTCTTTTCCTTAAGTGTATTGTTGGATGAACAATGACATGATTTTCATTAGTAGGCATGGTTCGGCAAAATTAAATTTTTGGCTGATAAAATAACAACTCACCTGGGCTATAGCCCAGGTTAATCTCTTCTTGAGACCGTCCCTGCTTACACTGAAATATCATTGTTACAATATTTCAAATCAATCACACATTATTAATTCATTTTAACTTTTTCACGTAGATGTTTTACGTTGCATAAAAGAAGTTCTCCATTGGTAGACATAGATATTGTTCCACCGTTTATATATGAAGGTACTGTACTAGTAGTAGTACATGGTATGAAAGGGGTGGCTGATGTTTATTCAGAGGGCCTGGATCTCATATTTATGATCCATTGGTATTATTTGCCATGGATGGTCCACATGGAAACGAGTTAGATTCAGGATGTGTCATCGGTCTGACAACGACAAACTATCTGGTGCCAATTGATGTGATTTGTCCCTCTCCGCATATTTGACGATTTATTGCCAAAATGCATTAACAAAGCAATCTTAAAAAACCTTTGATTATTGTGAAGAAATAACATAGCTAATAAAATATCCTTAAACATCTTTATGTACCCTCATTTTTGGGCCAATACCAAACCCTAGTCTCCTTTCTCTCAAAACCCTTCTAGAACCGTTTTCACTTTGAAGAAGGAGGAAGTTAATGTTCTTCCTCACTTCTCCCCTCTCCCCTCTTCTCTTCCTCCCTCTCTTCTTCCCTCATTTTCAAAGACAAAATTTTTCCCTATTTGTCTTTGTTTTGTTATTATTTTCCTCCAAGCATCACAGATAGCTGCGTCTTGGCATCTCCACCTGCGTTTCAGCATCGAATCTCCACTACTATCCTTTTTGCGGTCTCTTTATGTTCATAATAAGTCACATAGACTCTTTGTGTTCTCTGTGTAGTTTTCACTTCTCTTTTTGTGAGAGCTTTTCACCTCTCCTTTGTGAGAGCTTTTCATCTCTCATTTGTGAGAGTTTTATTTGTATTGTTATGGCTTTATTTTTTCAAGTTTTATCTTTTATTTATTATTCTGAGTTTGCAATCGTAGTTTGGATGTCTATGCCAGAGTTTTTTCGATCATGCGTGATCGTTAGTGGAGGCGTATCAGATTGTCTTAATTTTAATGTTAGACCACTATGTTATTGTAATGGCCCTTGTGTGGCTAGTGGCTTTTTTTAGCTGAATTATGGCAATCCTAAAATTTCTCCCCAAAAAAAAACATCATTATGTGCTAGTGTGACATATAATATTAACCAATTTCATTGGAACAATCATATTAAACTCAATAATCAATAGATAAAGATTTTAATTATGTTTGTTTCTTGGCATCAAGATTAATTAAGGAATGAGTTTAGCACTTTAAGAATGTGTTTTCCTATATGTTTGGTTAGCGCAAATTACTTTAGATTTGGCTTTCCTATAAATATCTAAACCCCATTGAACGGAGAGGTTTTACAAATTGAATGTAAGAGTTTGTGGTTTAACCCTAGAAATGAACTCTATAATATTAAATCATAAACAATTATAAATCTCATTCGTTGGCTTCTAAAAACTTATTCCAATAGTGTAGAATTCTCAAATTTTGATAATTTAAAAGAAGTACAATCTTGAAATAACATGTTCTGAATTAGATTAGGAGGTTCTTCAATTCTAATGTAAGATTTTGGGTTTCTCATTCTTACATTATGGTTTTAGCCCTAGAAATGGACTTTTTAATAAATGAGCCAACAGATATCAAATTCGAATCCTTATGACACTTTAGTAGTGTGAGTGTGTGTGTGAGATTCTCCTCTTTCTTGCAATTTAGACTATCGCTTATATTAAAAAATGAATGAGTGTAGAATTCCCAAAATCAGATGGCTAATGAAATGGTGCCCCGACCCAATTAAGTACCTCCACCAACAAAGATTTGGATCATCCATATGAGAAGCCTATAAGATGAATGCTCTATATATCGTCCAGATAGTTTATAAACTGAAACTTTATTAGATTTGAAATGCCATAAATAGGAAGTTGGCAACTACTTTGCCAGCTTCCCTTATTAAATATCCACCGTCTTATCCAATCACAATTGCTGAAGCTTCCTCTCTAATAATCTCTCCCCACATGGCTGACCTCAAGTCAAGCCTCAACAAACTGAAATGACCATGTGCCTTTTTCTTTTAAATTAATTAATAATATATTTTTTTTTTTTCTTCCCATAATTACAAGTCAGAACTCGATCAAATTCATTCATAGAAGAAAAGTAAAAAGCAAGAAAAATCATAAACATTTCCAGAAAGAAAAAAAAAAAAAAAAAAAAGCTGATCTAGCTAGCAGCCTGCTCATGAACATAACGGTCCTAAAAAGTTATGACACCCGAATTCATCGTTAAAAGAAAAACCCAAAAGCCAAAAGCATAGCAAACTCCCATATGCTACAATGATTTTTTCGTTAAATTCATTCACATTTTTGGTCAACAAAACGGGAACCAAACACAGCCTAAACAACAAGATTATACAGATTTCAAGTTCCGAGGCTAAACAGTACTCACAGACAGAGACATTTAGCTAATTTGATGCTCAATTTGAGAGACCAAATCCAAATGAGTAGTTTCCAAAATACCATCATATCATATCCATCCCCATCACATGCATGTCATGCATGTCATGCATGCAGATGCAGCTTTTTCATGAGACCTCGGGCATTTGGAAAACAGACGCAGAGATAAAAAAACTTGTACAGATCTATTTATCTAGACGAAATCAACTTTAATTAATTAATTCATTCATCAAATTCTAATATAAGTCAAATTAATTAATTAGGTTGGATCTCAAATCTCATCACTGACCATGGCACGTAGCAGCACTCTTGCTCTGAACCACCAAGGAGTTCTTGCAATGAGCAATTGCACCTTGAATTGCGCTCTGAAGCTCCTCCATCGACGACACTGAACTGTTGCCACCACTAGTACCCAAACCCGAGCCTGAACCCGTTAACCCGGTAGTACGGGAGAGAACGCCTGAGTGGCTTGGGGAGCACCTCATGGAAGAAGGGCAGCTCGAAACGCTGCCCCTCCTTCTTGGGTACCTCAGGTTACCCGAGAAGGACTGAGAAACTAAGCCATGACTGCTGCCACCACAATCTTTATTATTTCTCGTGGCGCATTTTTCTGCTGAGGTTTTTGTGGTCGTGATGATGCTTAAGCCGCCTCCTCCTCCTCCTCCTACTCCTCCCATTTTCTGTTGCTGTTTTTGGGAGAGTTTTTCATACAAGGGCTTCACCTTCTTCAAGTATTTGCTAAAAACCTCCTTGGCAGTCAAACTCATACGTTTCGGCTTCGCTGATGATGCATTATTGGATCCGGGCCCCACCATGTTGTTGTTGTTTTGCTGCTGGTGATCTGGAACATTGTTGTCTTTCTGTACTTTCGGCTCCTTCTTGAACACGGACGAGAATCTCGACAAGGAGAAGTACTTCTTCCTCGAAACGGCATCGTTGTTGCTGGCGGTGTGCTGCACTGCGTACTTGCTGCTGCTGCCGAGGCGCTTGTAAGACTCGTCGTTGGTGTCCTCGGCGACGGAGCTGGGGCGAGAGGAGCCGCAGGACTGGTCTGCGAGGAGGCCGAGGTCGCTGGCGAAGGAGGAGGTGGAGTCACGTGACTCATTGGAGCTGCTGGCGGTGGAGTCACGTGAGGTGGTAGTTTCGGAGGATGAGCAGTTGTAAGACGATGACGCGGAGGAGGGCAGGTGGAGGGTGCGGACCATGGAGAGGCGGGGGGAGAGGTGGAGGGGGAGGAGCTGGCCTTTGTAGAAGAGCTCGTCGGCGGGGCAGAGGGTGTTGGAGGATTTGCGAGGAGAGAGAGAGATTGTGAACTCGAAATCTGAAGAGGAGGAGGAAGAGAAAGAGTGGGTTGGGGAGGGCGGTAGGGTTTGGGATTTTTGGTGGGGATGATGAATATGATGATGCTTCTTCACTTTGATCATGTTCATCTCATCATCTTTTCTCATCATCTTCATCTCCATTATCTTTGTTTGAAGCAAAAACAAAAACAAGAACCAAAAAAGAAAAAAGGAAGAAAAAGAAGAAGGGAAGCTACATAATGGTTTTTGTGAGTTTGAGAGGAGGGGATGATATTAATGGGTTTTGTTTTGATGTGAAGTTTGGGTGGTGGTTCGTGTTTTGTACGTCAAAAGTGGTGTGGATCTGGGGCTGGGTTTTGGAAGGGCTCTTACCAGCTCACATGGGATGATGGGGGTTTGAAGTTTGAGCCTTTTCTCTCTCTTTCTTTTTGCTGACTGATGTGGTGTCTGATGAGAGAGAGAGACACGGTAGAGTACAGGTGATTAGATGATATATGAAGGGTTAGGTGTCACGTGCCTGAAACGTGAAAGGTGGGGTTTACTTCACGTTATTCTAATTTATAATCTATAAGATATCTTTGTTGTGGAGAGAGAGAGAGAGAGAGAGAGAGAGAGAGAGAGTTACATGAATCGAAGAAGCAGGGCATGCTGCTACGTGCTCTGCTGCTGGCTCATTTGATCATCATAATAATTATACGATCTTCATCTTTTATAGATTTAATTTTTATACGTTATAATCTTAAATCTTATTCGACGTCGTTTAGACACGAAATGAATCAACTATTGGTCTAGTGATACTTATCTTTTTACGGTAAATTACATACCAAATCACAATCATATGTTTACAGAGCTGCTGGTTATATATATATATACACTCCTGTATGCTTTGGACATGTGCAAATCATGATTTCTGATAAAAACCTGCCGATTGCATTACATTATTGGGTCAACTAACTTCTAGTTAAAAGCCTTGAGCCCATCTGATCATTTGCATGCTGTTCTTCATAAAGTTGTGATTTTTTTATTAGCAAGTGATCATACATAGAGCCCACGGTACTTTTATTTGTAAAATCTGATGCCTGCCCTGTCATGCCAGATAAGATGTGGTAGATTTGACCTTGTTGATCCATCTGGCATTAAACTTTTGCTTTGCACAGGGAAATTGTTGCTTCATACAAATATAATTAATCAAATCAAATGTGATAAAAATAATGAAATAGTAATTTATTAAGGAGGTCACTCTGTCCAGGAAGTTAACTAGATTCTCATGACATGAGATTTGCTCTCCAATCCCAGAATCATGTCATGAGAAGAAATAGCTTTTCGAGGCATCAAAAAGGTAATCTTGAACGAAAACAAAATTAATTGCAGTTAAACTTGCCAGCTACGAGGTATGAATACGTATACTATAATATTTCAGCAAATTAGTGGAGATTAGAGCCATGATTAATGCTATATGAAGTAATTGATTTGTACTAGTAAAGAGATCATTGGGTCGACTTGGAGCATTTTTCTCTGAGTTTTACAGGTCAATTGGATTGGACGTGAACGGCCTTTGGAACCTTTACTATGCATCCAAAATGCCCCTTTACTATGGCTAGCTATCCATTTAACTGACATTCAATTTCAATTAAAAGCCTATCGTGCATGAAATTTAAGGGTGTGTTTGAGAGTGTTTCTGGAAGAGGAAAAAGTACTTTATGACAATCAAAAACACTTATGACTGCATTTATTCCAAAAATAAACCCAAAGAGAGTTTTTGTAACTTATTCCAAAAAGAAAGAAACTAAACCAGTCATATTGCAACCATGTTGTCACAAAGCCGACTCGTTGTCTACAATTACTAAAAGATAACATATATACACCAATCGACTTTCTTTTTTAGCAAAGATAGCCAGATACACCAAAAATGAATAGATATGCAGGGATTTGTTACAAAAATACTCCATAAACGAGCTAACAAAATAGAGATGATGATGGAGAGGGAAGCAAAGAGGATGGGAAGGGAAGGAGGTGAATAGAAAATGAAAAAGAGAAGAACAGAGGATAAAAAGTATGGTAGTCACCACCCCAAAAGGGGTGGCAAGCGGCTAGGGGTTTTCACTCTTATGTTTTCCCACTTAGGTTTAAACACGTTTGGTATTTCATCCCACCATGACCTTTAATTTGAATGCAAAAATGTACCATGACCTTTGATTTAGCCAAAAAGAGAAAAACAAATAGTGGATGTGTCAATTATTGTTCCAAAGAAATAGTGTTAGCATGAGCTTTTTGTGCTGCATCACGTGATTTTGGCTTCTCTAATGTCCTTTTTGCTAAGGTATTACTCTTAACGTGAACAAATCAACGTATATACAGTATTCTATATGCCAATATTAAAGGCGACTTCAAACTTCTGAATTATTTGATTATGAGTACAAAGTCTTAGGACGTTTCTCCTTGCTAGTTAATGGCATTATATCCACTTGCAATTTGCTCATATATTTTTCCAGAAGCCAGTTAGTTATTGTATATGGTTAATTAATACCCTTGTGCTTGGATTAGAGCATCAATTACCCGCATAAAAAAAACATGCGTATTTCATATTTCATAAATTTGTCTTTCTATTTTTCTCGTAACATGACTTATTATTTGATAAAAAAGATAAACAAAAATGCTTATGAAACATGTTGTATGGAAGGTTTTACTCCGTCTGCACACATTGGGGGGAAAAAAAGAGCTGCACACCTATGGAACTTTTTCATTTTTCATTATTTTTAGACTAGTAGCTAGGCCTACACACCTAATGGACGTTATTATCACGTATAATCTATGTTGCCGAAAAGGACCAAAGCAATAATATTGATGTCTTTGCTTCTCTTCCAGCTAGCAACAGTATTGTTAGTTCCGTTCACTCATTATTCTCTAGCTAGGATTGGTATTTGCTGTTTGGTATGTGGATGTAGATGTGGATGTGGATGTGGATGTGGTCCTAATAGCTAATTAAGCTTCCTCTTATTTCTCCTATTTTGTAGTTGTTGTTGGCTGCTCAAACAGATAAAGCCTTTTCTCATATCAAGTTGACAAGTGTCATCTTGCATAAAAACATTAGGGCTTGTTTGTTACACAGGACTGTCTTGACATGGACTATGTTCAGAGACTGTCTTGGCTTGGTCTAAGTTGGATAACACTTATCTTGCGTTTGGTGTATGCTTGGACTATGACTAGATTTTTTTATTTTTTCAAAAATATATATATATGTATATATGTATTTTATAATATATATATATATTATATACATATAATATATATATATATATCATATATGTGTATATACATACACAGTCCCCTTCTATTAAAGGATCTCTCAAATAATTTTATTTGAGGGACGCCCTTTAAGGTACCCTACAATTTTTTTTCCAATGATCCAAACTATCTATTTTTTAGGTATTCATTCATAGATCATCCTTACAAAAAATTAAACAAATCGGAAACCATTTTGACATCCAATTGTGTCCTACAAAATTAATGAACACGGTGCTTTAAGAAAGTACTAAAATTTCAATAACTCAATTGAATGGTCAAATGATATCGGATTCAAGTGATTTTTTTTTTATGGATGATATTTGAATGTGTATCTACAAAACAGACGGTTTCGATTAATGAAATACAATATGGAGTGGGCCCTACAAGGGGTGTCCCTCAATAGAAGCTATCTGTATACATACATATAATATATATATATATAACATATATGTGTAAGAGTGTATACCAACACATGGAATGGATATCAATTACATAGCTTATATATAGGTTTTTTTTTTAGTGAAATATTTTTGGGTAGGCTACCAGCCTACCCTACCCTGGCTTAAGATCCACCCCTGCCTGGAAGTCTGAAGCATATTGCAGTGGCATAGAATCAAAAAGGAGCGAATGTGGTAGTATATAGCTAGCACTCTCGTTTGTTACACAAGATTATCTTAGCATGGCCTATGCTTAGGATTGTCTTGACTTAGCTTGGCTTGATTTAAGTTGGATAACACTTATCCTGCGTTTGGTGTATGCTTAGACTAGTACTAGGACGAGGATTATATTTTTTTATATTTTTTCATGGGTATAATGTATACATGTGTATATATGTATATTATAATGTGTACAAGGGTAAAATACATATACACACACACACATATATATATATATTATAATATATAATATATATGGGTATGTTATAATAATAATATAGGTGTATATATGTATATTATAATATACATGGGTATAATACATATACATATATTTATATATATGTACGTATATTATAATATATAATATATATGGGCATGTTATAATAATAATAATATACATGTATATACGTGTATATATGTATTATATATGTATGTATATATACATATATATTATATATATATTATAAAATACAAATTTATATATATTATATATTATAATATATGTATATATATATGTATATACATGTATATTATATATTATAATAAACATATATATATATACATATATACATGTATATAAAATATGTGTATATAGGTGTATCTATATATTATAATAATATACATGTATATATGTGTATATATGTATATTATAATATATATATACATATAGTATAAATATATAATGTATATGTGTACATACGTGTGTATATGTATATCATACATGGGTATAATATATATACATATATATATATGTATATGTTATATATATTATAATATATAATATAATATATATTACATATATGCATGTATGCTATTATGTACATGTGTATATGGGTATATTATAATAATAATATACGTGTATATATGTACATTATAATATATATATGTGTATGTAGTAGTAATAGTAGTAATAATAATAATAATAATAATAATAATAATAATATATGTTATTAGTATTATAATAATAATAATAATAATAATAATAATATATGCATCTTATACATTAGTGAACATAGGACTAGTTAATCCTCCATTTCTACATGGGCTTAGTAGTCCCCTCATAAGGAAGTGTTTTTGGTGGGCCTGGTATTAGCAATCTCATCTAAGACTAAAATTAAATGAAACAAACATGGTACTAAATTTAATTCAAGCCAGGCCAAACCAAGCTTATGTACCAAACGAGCCCTTAGGGTTTTCTTTATCTATCAAGTTAGCTGGTAATGTGTGAATTAAGCAAATTAGCTTTGAGAAGTAGTGTGGTCCGCTGGTAAGAGTTTATTGGACATTCAATAAAAGGCTTCTAGCTATGCCACGTAAAAGTACTATCATCTGTATAATGTATTATTAATTAGGAATAACAAAATAGTGTTATTCCCATTTTATGGAAATTTTTTCAGGCAGCTTTTGACAAAGTCAATTTGCCTTGTTCAAAAGTTAAGGCAGATATACTGATAAAAGGACATGACATATATGGGAACAATTCTTAATAAAGTGTTTTTTTCTTCTTCTAACCATTTGCCTAACTATTTTGTAAATCCAGTTATTGGAAATAATTTAGTATGTTTGGTAATTCCAGTAATATGAAATGCTTTTTGGCACATGAATTTTATTTTCCATTCCCATAGAAAACCAAGGCCAATATTAAATGCACTTTTTTTCATGAATAATTTGTCCCCATTAGCAATTTAGTCCAACAACAAATATTGTTGGTATTCTTGTCAATTAGGTATAGTTCAGTTAGTTGAGCTGAGCTCAATTGGCCTCAAAGCAGAGGTTCGAAACTCTAATGCACCTAGGAATGTTTGTGTGTAAATCCCCAACCCCCCTATTCCTGCATCCCTCAATCGCTTGTATTAAAAAAAAAAATTGGCATTCTTTTTTAAATTTATTTATTTTATATTTCTAACATGGTGTAATTGAAAAACTAAATAAAGTTTGTCTTCCATTCCTACACAAATCAAATATGGAAAATGATATAAAGTAGTATGTCCTAGTTAATTTCCCAACGTTATCAAACATGAGAAAGAAATCTTCCATTCTCGTCTCTTGAAAAAGAATATAGGAAATTTTTTTTCTATCTAATTAGTTATGCAAACCAAACGAAACTTATTAGACACATTTACCACAAAGCATTTTGCCTTGGAGATGAGCCTTGACTGCAAAGCTTGCTGTAACTTTTCATTAATTGTAGCCATCTGATTTGGTCACATTGACCTTTCGATTTGAGTATTCTTTCCTTTTCAACATGGACTCTTGCGTTACTCATTTGGTCAAATTTTCAAAATTGGTGCTAAGACCATATGAGGTCACCCCTAGCATGAGCCATTGCCCACCACTCATTGATTATGGAAAATGACGACATAGTAGATTAAAATTGATCCAATATATATGAATTTGCATAAACGTGAGGATCAAAGGCAAAACTTGATTTCTCTTGGTGGAGAAATCTCATTGGTGATGGAGGTATGGAGAAACCACCACGGAGGAAGAGATGCAAAAGCTACAGGTATGCAGAAATGAGAAAATTCAACATTTGTTAATTATTCACATTAATTTTAAGTAGAAAATGACATAAATTGAAAACTAATATGCAAAACACAACCAACTTTTTTCCCTTCAAAATTTAGAAAACGCACCCTTTTCTAAATTCTAATACAGAAATACCATTTATATCGTTGGATGGGGTTAAGGTGAAATCCAAATGGGAATGAGAGACTTTGGAAAAAGCAAAAGGAGAGAGAATTAAAAAAGCCAAAATGGACAAAATTGCCCTTATTTATTTTTGGATTTATTAAGGAATCATTTACATTTGTATGTCTTTGATTTAAAAGTTGAGAGGTTTTTCTGTCTTTTTTAAAATAGCTTTGGTTTTTTTTAAAAATGAAAGTTTTTTTATGACTAAAACCTAAATTTACTATAAAGAGAGAATAATCACTTGTTCGAACATATTACACAATAAAGATATAATAACTGAACGATTTAGATTTTATATTGTTGAGTAAGCCCAAACTAATAGTTGACACCATATTAACTTAACGGTTAACGCTCCAACGCTAATAAGCTTTTATAATAAGAAAAAAAAAAGAAGGTGTTGGCAAAATAAAAAGAAAGAAAGCTTGTGAAAAAAAGAAATTTAATTAAAATTAAATCCGATAAGAAATTTTTACTCGAAAAGAAATACAAAGATTCCAGAGGGGTGTAAGCGTGGATTGGGTTGTTGTTGCTGACCTTCTTATACCTGACCAAATTATAAAGCTTCTCACTTTCGTTTGGGTTTTAACTTCTTTGGGCTCTCTTCTCTCTTGTCTACTCCTTTACGCTTTCCTTCTCCCAAACCCTAATTGCGATCGTATCCACCGCGGTTTCAGATCTCCATCGCTGCCGATCAGGTAATTTCTGTTGTTTTCACGATATGTTCGTTCTCGTCGTCGTCGTTTTTCAGTTCTAAGGTTCTAATCGTTTCAATCTGCCACTTTTTGTGCAATCAGATATCTGAAGTTGGTTAGTTTTTCGATTTTAATTCGAATTACTTAACTTTCTGCAATGATCTGCTATTATTTGTAGGTTTTTGTATTGAATTTTTGTATTTTTAAGTGAAGAGCCTTGAACGGATCTGATATTTATACGTTATTGAGTATCATATTTATTTCATGCATGCGCCTACATATTTATGGATATGTGCGTGTGCAAAAGATGATTTTGGAAGAATTAGAAGAGTTAACAAATTTGGTTGCTGGGTTCATTAAAATTTTTTGGTTACTGGACAATAGAAAATCGAACCTGAAGATTGGTTGAATATAGAGGCAGGTTGGTTCTTATGACAAGTTATAGGTTGTTTTTGTTATTGATTTATTAGTGATTATAGGAGGTCAAGTTTAGATAGGCTACATAGTGCATAGGCAGCAACTTTTTTGATCAAGTAAAACCATTGTAAATGCATGAGCACAACCTAAATTTTATTGTGAATAGAAATTTCTAACCAGTGTTGATCACAGTGATCTCTATGTCTTGTTCGGTTTTTGTTAATTTTAGTTTTGTAATTTCTCATGGTTTGTGTATTGTTTTTAATTTAGCAGGAGCAATGTCTTTTACACGTAACTTCCGCTCCCAAGGGGGCACTGCTGGTGATGAATATTGGCCCTCATTCAGTAGAAACGACTTCAAAAACTTCAACAACTGCAAAAACTTCAACAACTTCAACCACTGCAACAACAACTGGAACAGGAGCAGAAGCAATAGTTTCTCTAGGAATTTTAACAACTTCCATAATTACATGGGCAATTATAGGGAGCATACTGACTATTCTAATTATTCCAAGCCTGACAGTGCTCCATCGTTTAAGAGGAGAAAATTTTCAGCTTCTACGTGGGGTGATGGTGCGAGACACTATCTTCCTGCCAACACATATGACTTTGCCCCGTCTATCTACAATAACTATGTGCCTCACACAAGGTCCAATGGTGATGCCTCTACATCTACTACCGGTAAACGTGACCGCTCAAAATTAGAGGAGGATGAACTGGCCTTTATGTCAAGGGATGAGATTGAGAGACACTCCCCATCTAGAAAAGATGGTATAGATGCAGTGCGTGAAGCACATTTGCGATACTCATATTGTTCTTACCTTCAGAATCTTGGATTGCGGCTTGATTTGTAAGCTTCTTCTCACAAAGTGTGTCTTCGTTTTTAATAAAAAAACTAGTGGCTGTGGTATTATAAAGATTTTGCTAGTTGACATTAAGTTTCAAGGTTTTATTCTCTTTTTGTAAGACTATGTAATTGACAAACTTTATCATATATATTCCAGGCCACAAACTACTATCGCTACTGCAATGGTTCTCTGCCATCGGTTTTTTGCTCGGCGATCACATGCTTGCCATGATAGATTTGTAAGTATTCAAGTTCTTTTGAAATTCATTGCCTCTATAGAAGTTAAAAAGGTTTCCATGTGTGAATTTGGAAAAATAGTTGTATTCCTTTCTTTTAGATAATCATCATTTTCATTGTTCTCGTACAATCAGCATTATAGCATTTCAGAAATTCAATCATTTATTGTGTTCAAAGTCTTTTCGTTTTTAATTTTCATTTTCATTTTCTTAATAACTCATTTAACCTATGTTTCTGCTCTCTTTATGTGCTATTTAGTAATTTCCTATTCTGTAATGTACTAAGTATGTTATTGACTTACTCGTTCACTCCCTCTGGAAATTATAGTTCATGACTGTGCTTCTTTTTGCAGTTGATTGCTACCGCTGCTCTTTTTCTTTCTGCAAAGTATGAGGAGACACCACGCCCTTTGAATAATGTGTTGAGAGCGTCTTGTGAGATTTTCCATAAGCAAGATTTCAGTTTCTTGTCCTATATGCTTCCTGTTGTGAGTATCTTCAGATTTCTTTTGAGCCTCTATACTCTTATCTCTCCTCTTGAAAAACCAAACATGAAAGCTGAGATTAGAATTGTACTTTCAAGCATTCTGATATCTGTTGTATGTTAAGCAGGACTGGTTTGAGCAGTATCGGGAACGGGTGACTGATGCCGAGCAAATGATACTGACCACTTTAAATTTTGAACTCGGTGTGCAGCATCCATATGATCCTCTTACGTCTATTCTTAACAAATTAGGCCTTTCACAAACTGTTTTGGTGAATCTGTCCTTAAGCTTGGTCAGTGAAGGGTAAGTTCATACAATCCGAGGTTTCAGCCTTACATTTTATTGAATGTCTCTACTTGGTCATTATTTTACCCTCAGCAAAATGTTTGTGTTTGGTTACCTTAGTTGAAGAGGTAAAACCGGCTAGCTCATGTTCAACTTAACACGATGCTACTTTCTGCTTAGTCAGTTTACCTTGCATGTCTTCCTCAAAATTGTGTTAGTTTTAGGATATTCACTGTGGTTTGGGCGTTCCTATGGCTGTGGAGGAGGATAAACACTGGTTTTCTTCCTTTTCTCTATAACTTTGATGCTTGATGCTTGTCTCAATAATTTCCTTGTTTCGAGCAACTTCTCTTGTAGCTATTTTGGAATATTAATTCTTTTGGCATGCATATAATTGCAGGATGTACACAAGATTAGCGTTGATCACCTGTATGATATTCTTAGCTGGCGGATTGATATGCTGTTCATGGAAACTTTTTGATTTACTTCTGAAGTTGAACTGCCGATATGTTGTGGATGAATTTTCATAATATGCCCCATCAACTTGGTCATTGGCTATTGAATATAGCCACAGAACCTCCATAGCCATTTTCACTATTTTCTTTTAACATTCTGGTGGAGTTTATTCAGAAAGAGTCCTCTAAAGTCCTGCTTACAAACATACAGTTTGTGAGACAGGGCTTTTTGTGTTCTAGGTTTTGGAGGAAGACCATTCACTAGGCAAGGATTTATTTTGTTGTGCTTGGTAGCCCTTCCTGTCCTTGAGGCATTTTTACGAACACCTCCAATGACTTTGCCTACTAACAACAAGCGGTTGACCAGATATCTAGGGGTTGCTTTAGGTTTAACGGAGGCTATGATAAGTGTTTTCTTTCTGCATCGGTTTTGAAAGTTATGAATTTTTTTTTTCCTTATAACCTTTTGCACAAATCAGATAGTACACTGGGTTTGCACTCTGAGTGTTCTAATTTTTCTTCCTTCTTGAGTATCAGGGCTTCAATCTGATTTCAGTTTCGACCAAACGCTTTCTGATGGAAGTTTAAACCTTGGCCCAAGAATTGCAAATTGTTGTAGAAATGTTGCTAGTGATGCATGTGTCTCAGGAGCTTGTGTGGGTTCTGGCTGACTTAGATGTTTTGTTGTTTTTAGTTTTGGGTTCTTTTTCCCAGTACAGAATGGAATGGGAGGCCTTAAAATATTGACATTCATCTACCCTCTCCCCCAAAGGAAGAAAAGAAAATAGAAAAAAAAAATTAATAATAATAATGCAACACTTGTGAAGTGAAAATGAGAAAGAAATTGGCAAAATGTGCGGACAGCTCTCTCCATTAGTGAAGCTTTGAGATGTAACTTGTTTTCCAAGATGGGGAATAGGAGGCCAGGAATTGCAACTCAATTTTGATATAGTTGCCTGGTGTCATATCATATATATTTGGTTTAACCTATATTTCTCAGGTAATGGTTTGTCTGGATCTAGACCCTGCCCAATTATTTATCAGGGCCAAGATCTTGACTGGGAACTGTTTCGTTCCATTTACTTGTTATCAGTTATTGTCAATTGCCTAGTCCCAACTCCCATGTAAGTTCTTTTTCACAATTTTGAATAAATTTTGACGCCAGTTCAAGTTAGTGGGCAATCTTTTTTTTTTTTTTTTTTGGCTTTGACAATATTATAATATCTTATTTAAGTTTTCCTATAATCAAACTTTATTTGAAACATTCTTTCAAGTGATGAATTTGTTTCTAGATATTTTTTGTGAAAAAAAAGATAACAGTTTTCTTGAAATGGATTTTAATTTATTCAGTGTCTAAATTTATTATTTTTGTTAACTACGTTTTATATCGTATTCCTATCTTCATTTACTTGTGATAATGAGTTTGATCTTAATGCTACTATTGGTGTTATTTATGATTATTAATTTTACTACTGTCACTTTGGACTGGCTATTCCTTCTGTTAGACTACTCCTTGTTTTACACAGAAGTACACAGCCATATGTATTTGAAATTTGAAAATTTCACATTCATTTATGATAGTTTGTAAAATCTCATAGAAGAATTAAATGTTTTATCTTTTATAGCATATATCCTTATCAGAAAAAAAAAAGAAAAAAAAGAAAAGAAAAATTCATAGCGGTTAAGATATAGGCGTATACTTTTGTATCCTACTTGGTTTCATCCAGGGATGTTTTTGGTGAGGTGGAAAGGCTACCCAGATCATTTGTACAAGTGTTGTAAGATTATGTGTACTGACTGCAGCTGGTATGAAAAGCTTTTGTGAAGACTAAAATCACAATGAGTATGGATCCCAGAAGAAAGATTTTACCACTTTTCCTTTTTGGTCTGAGATTTTACTAAACTATGTTACAACTTTTAGACAATTTTCTTTAGTGAGAATTAACCACCCTACCCCAGTTGAATATCTAGCATTCATCCTTGTAGTTGTCTGAAAATTCCAACCGTTGTTAAAATCCTTCTTCCTAGCGCAGTCATCATTTTGGTGTTCTAAGAAGTTCTCGGCAAGCCTTGCTTTACCCAGTGCTCCTTAGTATGTTATATAGAATAGATTAGTTGATGGTATAAGAAAAGGATATACGTGTTGTACACTCTCAGATATACACATACTGACCAGTTGGAACAAACTATAAATGACATTTCAGCTTTATCTCATGCCGGCAACGTGTGTATAGTCGATTATTCTCATTGGGAAGTCAATAGTTGGGGTAATGTGTATGTTCAATGAGCATCGATGCATGTGTTTGACAAGTCTGTCCAGATCCAGCCATTGAGCAGAAGATTGTGGATTAGCTTTCAGAAGTTTGATTGTTTGCAATGCGCTTCTGCTTCCTGTTTGCTTTCTCATATGAATTGTGTACATGAGTAAAATAGCCGTGCAGCAGTTTTGGGCCTGGGAGTTTTGATGTGTTCTCTAGATGGGTATAACATGTTTGCTATAGATTTGGTACTCTTGTCAGCAATCCTGCAGAGATTCTGGAAAATATTCTACCTGACTTGCTGCTTTTGTAGTTGGTAAGAAGAAAATGACCTGTTATTTCCTCATGATCAATGCTTGATTTGATGTCATTTTGCTATTAACCTTTTATGCTATATGTTTCTCTCTTGTTGCTGATGTACGTCTATCAATGTGAAAATTATGCTAAGTTGCACTGGACATTGCCTGGTCTTTCTAGTGTTGCCCCAGATGGTTTGGTTTGGATATGTTGTCTTTCTGCCTCTCCTTGCCAATGTTGGTGTTTTTCTCATAACCTTGTAAAACTGATTTCCTACTTTTTATTTTTTTTATTTATGCTTTGATTTTTCAGGCTCCGGAGTTCTCTGTGGCTCCAGTTCAAACCACATCATATTGCTGCTGGAGCAGCGTACCTTGCTGCGAAGTTTCTAAATTTGGATCTTGATTCTTATCAAAATGTCTGGCAGGAGTTCCAGGCTACACCCGATATTCTTGAAGGTATGCATACATGCTTTGTTATCACTTTTTATCACAGCTAGAGAGGAAAATGAATTGTACTATTCCATATCCACGGTGAGAAAATGAATGCTTTAATCGAAAGCCGAGCTGTAGCTGCATTATTGTATTTCTGGTAGGTATTAACTTGTATTGATTGTTGATGCAGATGTGGCCCAGCAGTTGATGGAACTGTTCTAGAAGAATGGAACATGGTTGTGGTGGTAGGCTTTAGCTACGTTTTTGTGGATAAAATTAGGATATGCATGTCATGATCAGGTGGGGAAGACATATACACGACTTTGCTGAGGTCTGGGCGTGAGGAGGCAGATATTCCCACCAAGATATTTTATATACGTGCCCGTCTTTTGTCTCACAACTGCCCCTTCCTCTTGAAGGCTTAAAAAGTATAGTTTTTTTTAAAGGTTTTTGTAACAACTTCTACCAGCCATACTCTTTTTCTCGGAGTGGTAAGTTAATACAATGACAAAATCGCTATAAAGTTTTAATTTCATGTGCTTGATGTTCTTGTTTCTACTTTTATCTCCCTTTTGTCTAACTTATTTTCATTTCTTTGGACAAAAAAAAAACTTATTTTTATTTCATGTGCTTGATGATCTTGTTTCTATTTTAAAACTTGATTATTATACTGATGAGGGAAAATGTTCTTTCAGATTAAAGTATAAAGCCATTTCTTCCTTGTAATTTAGACTATCATTTGTATTTAAAAAAAAAGAAAAGTAAAATGCTCTTGAAGCGAAAATAGGCTATATCGGCAGTTGTTTTAACCATTTGTGAGGCTGACAAAAAAAGACATTTTTTGTGGGTTGGTAATATAAGGATCAAGCAGAAATAGGCTATATCGGCAGTTGTTTAACCATTTGATTGCATGCATTTTTGTTTTCGTTTTTGTTCTAATGAAATGGATTTTTTGTTGTTGCATGTATTAGATGAGTGACCTGAAATATAAACGGTTTAAGTTGTTGATTTTCATTGTGGAGTAACTCTCAGAATTCTACGAGTCTCTTCCTTTTTGCGTATGGCTCCGCTGGCAGCATCATTCTTCTTAAAATTTAGGGCATCTTTAACATTTGTACCCAAAAAAGACATCTTTAATGTATAAAAAAATCAGAATCTATTGGCTAAAACATTTTCCCATCCATTTCTTGGGAGGGGTCTCGCTCAACTCGATGCTTGTTCCTTGCCTCCACGGTTATGATGGGAACTCAGCAGTCTTGGGTTTGCAACCACACCGATCATTGTTGTCAGCACGTGGCTCCATCCTACAAAGAAACCCTCGTGCAATTGGGATATCACTTTGTGCTATTTTCGGTTAATGACGCAATGATAAGTAGAATAAATTTTCCATGTGTCATTGTGTTATTAGCCGGGAATAGCAAAACAATGCTATCCTTGCTATAGCCTATAGGTAAGTTTTTTTGCCCATTCCATAGCAAGATTGTTGGAGCATCTTCAATAGTAGTAGAAAACCAAACTCTTCAAATTGAAGTTTGTTGACCAATGTGGCAATTTGAAAAGCTTTGTTTGCTACTTTAATATTTTGTGCCCCACTAGACTCTTCAATTCAATTAATGCAAGGTTATGGAAAAGAATGAAAAATATGAAAACATGTGAAAAATGTCTATGTATTTATTATTTGAAAATAAAAAAAATGCATGTTTGTAATATTTTCAAGGTAGGTTTTATTTTTTCGAAGTAAAATTAAATGTTTTGAATAGTCAAAGTCAACTTACCAGTCTTGAAGAGAGCGAAAAATGTTGCAACTTTGATGACTAAATTTGACAAGGCTATTGGAGAGGGTTTTGATGATGTGGCTCACTTATTTTAGCATTCCAAAGATGTTGAAGAGGTTGTTGGAGATGCTCTTACATACTCAATAGCTTATTAATGCTTTGATTATCTTTCATCAACATTTTCTTTTTGTCAAATTTCAAAACAAATTTTATATAAAAAAAAACATGATAATCTGCCATTTTGTTGCCTCATAAATTATACGATAATTGTCAATCTACCCTTTAAACTCTTTTTCGGTAAATTAAGGACTTAAACTATATGAAATAGGCGGATTTGGTACTTGCTGTCAAGTTTTTGGATCTTCATCCATTTTTATGTCACGACCCGAATTTTCAACAATAAATAACTATTGAGTTGTTACAAAACAAATTGATTCGGGATGCGAAGCTCGAAACCTTCAACAGAAGTACCAGGAAAATTTTCTTTTCCTTAATACAATGCAATTCGCTCATAACCACAATGTCAATACAGACTCAAATCTTCTCAGTCAAATATTACATTTCAACATTATATAATAAATTGAGTTTCAACTTATTACATCTTGCTTCTCAGATTTTAATACACATAGCTGAAGTCTTCACACCTTGTATATCAATAGAACCTTTTGTTCGTAACCTCAGTTACATTGCTCATAGTCTCTACTACCTGCACGATTAGCCCATACACCATTGAATAGTGTACTGGGTTCATCACCAACAAACCCGATAAGCTTTCTATAGCTCGTATGAGTAAAGGACAATCAACAGTATAAATATGTCATTTTACACATAATATACATCAACATGCACTTTAAAAAGCATCACACAATCCATGTATAACCATGACAATTATAATCAATTACATCATCACAATCACAATTCTTTTATTTTCAAGAATAGTTTAAGTCACGGTCTGTGACGACAACAAAACTCTTTTATATTAAAAGCAGTTTTCACACATCAATTGTTTGACAAATTGAAGAGAGAATACTTTT